GGGGGGGGGGGGGGGGGGGGGGGGGGGGGGGGGGGGGGGGGGGGCGTAGTCATTTGCTGCTTGCCGTAGTCATTTGACCATTGACCAGGCGTCCCTTTCGAGACGGAGCACCGTTCCTACCCCTACTAGTGACACCACCAACATTTTGCCACAAACTACAAAAAAATTTCACGGGTAGGTTTAGTACAGTAGAGTATGTTTAGTAGAGTATCGAGAATCTGTACTAACGGTTGAGTAGAGTAGAGTATGAGAGAGGTGAATACTCACCTGAGTAGAATACAGAGGTTAGGTACTAAACTCAAAGAGTATGTTTAGTAGAGTATCGAGAATCTGTACTAACGGTTGAGTAGAGTAGAGTATGAGAGAGGTGAATACTCACCTGAGTAGAATACAGAGGTTAGGTACTAAACTCAAAGAGTATGTTTAGTAGAGTATCGAGAATCTGTACTAACGGTTGAGTAGAGTAGAGTATGAGAGAGGTGAATACTCACCTGAGTAGAATACAGAGGTTAGGTACTAAACTCAAAGAGTATGTTTAGTAGAGTATGAAAAGCCGTACTAAACCGCAAGAGTATGTTGAGTAGAGTATGAAGAGCAATACTACACTCAAAAAGATGTTTAGTAGAGTATTGAAGAGCCGTACTTACAAAAGTTTTAGTAGAGTACGAAGAGCCGTACTAAACGCCACAGTATTCTTAGTAGAGTATGAAGACCTGTACTAAACGCCACAGTATGTTTAGTACAGTATGAAGAGCTGTACTGAACGCCACAGTATGTTTAGTACAGTATGGAGAGCCATACTAAACGCCACAGTACGCTTAGTACAGTACACGTACTGACAATACTGACAGAATAACTACTCCGTACAAGCGTTGATTTGATTGCATGATAAACATAAAACATAAACATAAACATGAAGGAGTCCTCGCGGACGCCTTCCTGCTGGAAACCGGCCGGCACAACGAATGACGCGACAGCGTTCTTCGTAGCCTCCGGCACGTCGTACTCCCCTCCGCCAACGTGGAAGACCGGTGCGGGACGCTTGACGTTCACTGACTGCTGTGGCGCTCCTCCACTCGTTGAGCCCGGCACGACGACCACCTCGTTGTCTTGTTGCGCGTCTTGTGTTGAAGAACCCGGTGCGAGGGTACTCGTACCGGGAGAACCACCCGCATCGGGAGCAGATGCGGCCGAACCAACCGCTCGCGTCACTCATGCTCAGCTGCCACTATCTCCCCTGCGGGCCACTACCTCAGTACCCCAGTATCTGAGTACGCGAGCGCGCGAGTATCGGAGCCTGGAGCCCACCAACACTCTGTGCGGCGAGACTGTCTACTTTCTGCTGAATAGTGACGTCACCAACACACCCTTTGGTGGAAGGTAGTACGTACTCTGACGTTGAGTAGTACGTACTCTGAGTTGAGAATGGCGGGCTGTACTATGGCCTGAGTAGAGTATGGGCAGCCATACTAAACGCAACAGTATGTTTAGTAGAGTATGAGAAGCTATACTAAAGTGATAGTATAGTACAGAATAGGAAGCCATCCTAAACTCAAAGGGTATGTTTAGTAGAGTATGAAAAGCCGTACTAAACCGCAAGAGTACGTTGAGTAGAGTATGAAGAGCCGTACAATAAAGTGAATATGAGTAGAGTATAAAAAGCCATACTATACTCAAAAAGATGTTTAGTTGAGTATTGAAGAGCCGTACTTACAAAAGTTTTAGTAGAGTATGAATAACTGTACTAAACCGCCACAGTATGCTTAGTAGAGCATGAAAAGCTGTACTAAAGTGTGAGTATTACTCTACTGGGCGAAAAGGGCCAGATACTCGGGTCAGTACTAATAGTAGATACTATACAAAACCTACCCGTGAAAAATTTCTTGCACATCTTATCCCCGTCCTCTACGGCCTCTTGTGCCCACCATCTATCCCCAATTACCGCGATCGTTTTTTTGCTGTTGTCTAATTTACCAAACTTTTCCATGTCACACCCTCTCTGTCTCATGTCCTCCTCGAGATCCTCTCTTTCCTTCCTGTACAGCTCACACTCCCCAACTGTGTGGGGTCTACTCTCCTCCGATTTGCCACATGGACATGTCTGTCTATCCTCCTCTTCCTCTCTCTACGGCTGCTGTACCTCTTCCTCCGTTCTGGCAAATCCAGATCGCCTACTCGACATTGCAACTTCAGTTTGNCTCCGATTTGCCACATGGACATGTCTGTCTATCCTCCTCTTCCTCTCTCTACGGCTGCTGTACCTCTTCCTCCGTTCTGGCAAATCCAGATCGCCTACTCGACATTGCAACTTCAGTTTGTTTGCGTAGTCCATGGGGCCGTCCAAGAAACTCTTCATCCTTATCCCTTCTTTCAACTTTCATGTTTCCAAGTGGTCTTCGCTTCGTACCTTCTTCCGACGGGTTGCCTCCTCCCTACTTTCTAGCATTTCCTTGACTTTCTTCTTGAACCCCCC